CATAAACAAAACAAAAATGTTTTATCTGCTTTTTTTTTTTCCATTCTTTTCACCAATAACTTTTTTGATGTATTTGTTTCAGTAACAAACTTTTTGGAGAAAAAACGACAAGTTTAAAGTTTTAGTATCAGGTTTTAAATAACTGCAAAATTGGTTAGTAAAATTTGATTTATATTGATACGTATTCAGTGGAAAGAGAAGACAAGGAAAAAACTGCAAAATGACATTTTTTCCATTTTTTCCTTTTTTTTTTTTGTTCAGACTACGTTCAAGCAACAGTGCCACTAAGCAAATTTTGCTTTTTTTGTTGTTTTCTGTCTTCTGTTATTTCTTTTTCAAGCTTTCTTGTTCTTTAAAAAAAACTAAAAACGAACTGAGAATAACGTAGACCAGTGAAATAGATTTTTTTTTTCTTGTAAAATTTGCTGCAGTTTTCAGTGGACACAAATAGTAATCAAAATTTGCTTTTTGTTGACGTAACAAAATTAGTGAATGATACAGGAAAGATTGGTACGGTGACATGGAGAAATGAGATGAAGAAGAGGAGAGGAGAGGAGAGGAGAGGAGAAGAGGAAAACAGAAAAGACATCGAAACAAATGGAGTTACGGAGAGCGTACATTAATTTGCCTCTAACCCTAAAGTTTTCCAATATTTTTGCATGACATTTAAACAACAATATAATTTTTCACTATCAATTAGCACATCACTGATCGTCATTTATAAAAACCAATATATAATTACTGTGTAGTAATTTGTTGCTTATTTACGCTTTAATTACTACCCAAAATTGTTCTCGTTTAAGTTTTTATTTCTTTTTCTTCTCTAAACCCTAAAACAAATTATTTTGCCGAACATTTGTTTACGAGAAAATGAGAAAAAAGTGTCGATCAGCATACAAAAGGTAATTTTTTTTTATTTTGAAGACAAACAGTTAGCAATTTATAATCAATAAAAAAAAAACTGAGGTTTTGTTCAAGTTTTAGTATCAGAACAATAGGCAAATTTCTTGTCTGATTTACCCCCAAAAAAAAACTGAGATCATTGATAAACTACGGTAAAAAATTTCGATGAGAAACAACTATTGAAACCTATCACCACCGCTGTCATCAATAACAATGATTTTCCAAACAATTTTATTTTCCCTTAATACTTAATTTAAGGTCAACATGTAACAGCAATAAAACTATCGTTACTTCTTCTTTTTGCTACCCACTACAACAAATAATACCCATTTTGAAGAGTGTAATAAGTTTTTACTATAGTTATTCTTGGTGTTTGAAAAGAAACATTTTTGTTCAGTGGTCGTTTGTTACTGTTCGCAA